CAGCATCCAGCCAGAATGTAAAGCTGTTTGCAGCTTCCCACATGACAGATTTATATTTTTGTTGAAATTTGTACTTTCAGTTTTCAGCAAAACATAGCGAACAGTGAATTCACTTAATAACCACTGCATGTGCATTACAACCGCTGCAAAAAAAGGTTGTAAAATCAGGTCGGTCACCTGGGTGACCTGCTTTACGACCATCATAGGTAGTTTCCATTATGACCATAAGTCAAGGAGACTCTGTTGATTACAGAGACTAACCCGGGTGTCGGCAACCCGTGGCACTGGAGCCGCATGTGGCTCTTTGGAGCCTCTGCTGTGGCTCCCTGTCCCATCACTGGCTGGCCCCACCCCTTGCCCTCCCTTGCCTGGCCTTAGAAGGTAATGGTGATGGCGGGGGATGGAGAAGCGGCTGGGGTTGATTCTCCAGCACCTCACTCTTGCTGCTTGTTGGTGCTGGGCATACTTTCCGGCCCTTGTTGGTGCTGGGCATGTCTCACAACCGATGCCGGCCTCACTAATACGAGGGCTGGCGGGGTGGGAATGGGATCCGGGAGGAGGGGATGTCAGAAATTGCGACGGGCCCACAGTGCCCAGCCATGGCTTTAAGAAGCTCAGGGCAGCAGAAGAAGGGGGCTGGCCCCGCCAAACCTTGCCCGCCCACCCCGGGGGTCAGGCTCAGAGAAAGCACTCGCCCGTCAGCTGGTCTCCCCACCCCCCTCTATGACTCTGTCTGTGTGCGTGTGTGTTTGTGTTTGTGTGAGCAAGAAATCTGAGCTGGCTGAGGAACGATCAGCTGTGGCAGAGGCTTCTCTTCAGGCGACCCTCCTCCTCCTCCTCTTGACCCCCTGGCTGCTGTGGTGTGGCTGGGAGGGTGTGCATGGGTGGGGAGGGGTTAGTCACTAACCAAACAAAGGTTTGGTACATTTGCCTTTTTTTTACATTTGTTTATTATTATAAATGCACAAATGATCTGAAATACAAAATACACTGGAAATCTGGTAAAGCAGGTCTGCATATGGTCAAATGTGAGAATCACCACATTGGGGATTGAATCTCAGCCTCATAAGAGAAGGGAGCCCAGTGGTGGGATTCACATTTGTTTACTACTGGTTCTATGGGCATGGCTTGGTGGGCATGGCAGGGGAAGGATACTGTAAAATCTCCAGTCAGAGGTGGGATTTGCCGGTTCTCCGAACTACTCAAAATTTCTGCTACCAGTTCTCCCGAACTGGTCAGAACCTGCTGAATACCACCTCTGAGGGAGCCCCTATGCTACACAACAGAACCTAACAGCCACACATCAAGATTAATGATCCATTTATTATCCTGCACATTTTTATGCATTAGAGTTATCTATTCAAATGTTTTATGTGACTGAAAATTGCCAGGGAAGCAGATTCAAAACAGATTAATCAGCAGCCACGAATAATTCATTCAAGATTAATCACGGACTACTTTAAATTTGTTGTGTACGTCTTGTTATATTTTACAAACTGCACAGATGGGACAGCTCTTGAACAATTAAAAGAAAACCCTGGGAAATAAATACCAACACTGCCATTAGATGAGGCAAAAGAACAAAAGATAATAATAATGAAGAGAACAGAGAAAAGATTCCTATTACTAGAAAAACGAGGTAAATTTATTGATTGGATGTAATCTGCTACAGAGAATCAGTTTGGTATAGTGTTTAAGGCACCGGACTAGAAACCAGGAGACTGTGAATTCTAGTCCTACCTTAGGCACAAAGCCAGCGTTGTGACCTTAGCTAGTCACTCTCTCTCAGCCCTAAGAAGGAGACAATGGCAAACCACGTCTGAAAAACCTTGATAAAAAATATACAGGGACTTTTCCAAGCCATCTCTAAGAATCAAACCCTATTGAATGGAAGGGGGAAAAAACTATAGAACACTATATTAAGGGGATATAATGGTAATATCAGTTTACAATATTCGTATCTTGGCTTGCACTGATTACCCCTGAAACCATAAATTGAATCGGATGCTTTGTGAACTTCTTCATGAGAGCCATTTCTTTAATACTTTGCACTGTTTTGTAACGTGTATGTTTGAATAGGTGAGGTAGAAACCACAAAGACAAGCACCATGTCTACCCTGTCCTATTGTTTCTTTTATTTTTCTTATATGTACCCATTTCAAGTATTCATAACTATGTATATACTTATACCTATTATCTTGTAAACGATTGACAAATCAAATAAATAAATAAATAAAAATAAATAAATGTCTTCACTGCACACATGATGTTTTGCATCATTGAATTGATGACATGATGGGATTTGAGGCAGCACTTGCTTCCTCTGTGGCCAGAAATCCCTTATCTATATTTTGCTGTATTCCAGCAAAGAACTGTTTGGATTATTTATGTTGCAAATGGTTGGTCTTTAGAAAAACAACAGACTAACTATCTTACTGGGATTGATGAATTAAAGTGGCTGGTGTCAAGATCAGTTTAAAGAACATTCAAGCCAACAGCATCTGATTCTCCTTCATCCATTCACCACTGAAAAGCAGAAATTAAAACCACAACATATATACTAATAAATCTTATTCCCCATGATTGTTTTTTATTTTCTCAAAAATACAGAGAGTCCTCAACTTAACAACCACTCATTTAGTGATCATTTGAAGTTACATCAGCACTGAAAACAGTGACATTACCGTTTTTCATGCTACCATAGCAGCATCCCTGTGATCACGGGTTCAAAATTCAAATGCTTAGCAACTGCCTTGTATTTATGACAGTCACAGTCTCCCGGGGTCATGTGATCCCCTTTTGCGGCCTTCTGACAAGCAAAGTTGATGGTTATCACTTAATAACCACATTACTAACTCAACAACTGTGGTGATTCACTTAACAACTGCAACAAGAAAGATTGTAAAAGGGGGCAAAAATTCCCCTGTTTCGCTTGGCAAGAGAAATTTTGGCCTCAGTTGTGGTCATAAGTTGAGGACTACCTGTACTGATGAAAAACTATTGCTATTGCAGAAAGTAAACATAATTCATCTCCTTCTGCCACTCACAGCTTGCACATATTCTACCCAACCTTTTTGCAGTTCTCCAAACATACAGCTTGAAACTGATTCAATTTCTGCTTAACCCACGACAGAAACCAGGGAGTCTCGCAAACTGACATTAATGGCACTTTCCCTGTCATTCTGGAGATGGTTATTTGCCCATCAGTTAATCATTGGGTGACAGAAAGCTTTTCTCTGTCCATTCATTGGTGTCAAAAATTCTGCAATGGCTTGGTCTATCAACTTAGTAACAGACTTTTTTTTCCCCCCCCAAGGGATCGGACTACTCTTAAGATTCTGCAGCGTCCTGGATGATAGATTGTACCATTCTTGAATAGCACAGTTTGACCATGCTAGCTTGGAGTATGGAATTTGTAATCTGATGTTGAATTATATTACACTGAGCAGTCAACATTGCAGGTTATTGCCATACTTGGAAAAGGGGGGTGAACTACCACCAAAATCAAACCCCAACCCTATGAACATGAAGGATTCCTTTATGTCATCTATTCAATCACAGCCTTCTCCCATTTTATTACATAAAATAAAGATCCCAGAGTTTTTTTTCCCTCAGGGAGCATTTTAAATTGTTCAGCTTCCCCAAGTGAAAAATCCAAATTACCGCATTAACTTCATTATCTCCCTTTTAGTAGGATAGACACCATAGCACTGTTACTGGAACCCCCAAATCTTATAAGAAAATAATTCCATGGGTGTCTGTAAATAATAAATCCATACTGAAAGCAAATCAGCTAAAACTTATTCCATAGTTTCCTTGTGCTTGGTAGCAACTCAGTTCTCGCTGATTTGCTCTCAGTATGGATTTATTATTTTACAAATAGCTTGAATTGTTTTCCCATTAAATCTAAAGGACTATTCTTTCGGTTACATTAGCGTTACCCAATTTTGGCAATGTCTATGGAGCTTCTCAATCATGCAGGTCATGGTTGTGTCAAAGGTTCAAGGCAACTGGACTTTCTTGGTTTTCTTTGAAAACTTTTTCCTTCTCATCCAAGAAGCTTCTTCAGTTCTAACTG